AGATGTATGATTCCTCTGCCGATGGTTAAAAGACGAATGGTATAATAAAACCGAGTTTTTTTTTTTTTTTGAAAAAGAAGGAGAAGAAGGCGCCTATAAAAGATTTTTCATCGGGCACAGAAATAGTTGAACGTTTTCGGTACGCACGCCGTGTATGCAAATATAAAATACAATACATTAGATACGGCGGGTGTATAACCGCGAGGATTTTCACGGCCCAGATATGGATCTATTATATTATTATGGGTATTTTTTATATTTTTTTTTCTATGCGAGTCCGACACTATCTTCTGTACGCGTTTATATATGTATGTATATATATATATATATATATATATATATTTTTTTTTTTTTGTATTTATGATACTATTTTTGTTAGATGTTTTTTTTTCTACTCTTCGTGCGATATTATGTTTCCCCCTCCATTCTTCATACACACGGTTTATTATTAGAATATTCACAAATCCGTATCCAAGTGCGTCGGATTTGTGGCGGCGGGGCAACAGTAGACGACAATGGACCGCCGTCGCTTTCACCACGCGTCCTATCATCCACTTTTATAATGTCCGTCTTCTCAGCATCACGCCGCCGCCATCGCGTCGATACGAATATTTAAACTCCGTTGGCGGATTACGATACTATCATATTGTGTTATTTTTATTAATTTTTTTTTTTCTTTTGTTCGGTAAAGTAATACTGATGAATATTCTAACCTAACCTATGTAATATTATGTTTAACACAAAACGCGTACTCGAAAAAAAATGTAAAACAACCGCGGCTAGACTAGTTAAAGGATACTCAGTCAAGTCAGATCAAGTGCTTCTTAAAACGTGTTTAAATTGAATTATTTATTAATCAAAAGATTTAAATCAAATATTATATTTTAAATTGTTGACTCAAGTCATTTATCAAGTCGTTTTAATTATTTTTGTAAAATTATTACTGTTGAAAATGATTTGACTTTGTGTTTGTGTTTTACTGTTTGAAAATAACTATAGGACAATTATATGTTAAACATTACTTAAAGAATATCCCGGGAATATCAAATGTTAAACTTGGAACTCCGCGCAAATTATTAAACAAAAAAAAAAAATAAAAATAAAAAACGTAAAAAATTGTTAATGTAAGTTAATGTTATAGTGTTAAAATGTCCAAAAGAAAAATTGAATGTTTATAATATTACAAGTGTTTTAGTAGTGGTGCGATCTAAAATATAAACTTGTTATGATATTATGTATTACCTAACTTAATTAAAATAATAATAATAAATAAAAAAACGAAAATTAAGTTTAAATATCAAAGGTTCGAAAAAACTTCGAGGTAAAAGTTATAATTAACTTAACTTTTAACTTTTTAAACTCGTATTATAATAATTATAATAATATTATGCCCTGCAGCATTGGTTTTATCATAATAATAATAATATTAATTTGGTACCTACAGTATAACCGCTCCGGAAACCGCCTTGCCGCCGGCGGAAAGTCATTTTTAAACGTGGTTTAATAATAATACGTAATAAATAAACGGTCAGAAAATCGGCTGAGTGACGGACACGCGAGAGACCGCCGCGTGTCTCACACGCCATCCGTCAACGCGGGCGCCTGACAAATGAACCTAAAGGCCGCCGCTGCTGACGCCACCGCCACCCGTGACCTGGCCCTGAATAATATTATTAATGATAACACATTACTAAACGGATAATGAATATAATATCTTATTATAATACACATATAACATGTATATTTAAAATGTTATCGTATAAATGCGACAACATTTCTGGTGTAGAAGGAGAAGGAAGCGGACGAGGAGGAAAAATTAGAGGGATTCGTTTCACTTTTAATCACGATTTAATTCCGTAGAAAGTTTCCGTATTAAAGTATTATATTATATCGATTGATTTTTAGATACAGGGCCTTATCCTAAAAAAAAACCTAAAAAAACCTAAAAAAAAAAACGGGAAAATGTAATAAATACAAAGTTTATTTATTAAATTAATTATAAAATGTTGGTATAAGTGAAGAAAAACACGATACGACAAAAAAATTATGATTTTTATTAAAAACTCAAAATACAGTAGGAATAGAATTTAATTGTGTGAAAATATATTTATATATTAATCTTAAAAAACAATTTTTCATATTTGCATATATTTGACATATTTTGCACATAGGTCCAGCCACTGTTTTAGGTGGGAAGTTGGGAAAATACAGACGGGAATTCAATGTATATCTGTAGGCAACAATAAACCATTGCTCACGAAAAATACAATTCTAAACAGAGTTCAGTTGATATTGTTGTTTTGTCAACAAAACAATATATTGGTATGTGCCATAATATGATAAAATAATTACAACAATGTGCGTTTAGAAAATATTGATAAAATAATAAAAACTTAATAATAACAAAAAATAATTAAAAACGGTTACCAATGATAATCTTATTTTTAATATTTTAATCTTTTTATAACCTTAATATCAAGTTTTTCCTCATTATCTCGAATATTAATGAGAATTTCAAAAAAATGACCTCTCTAAAGTACCACCAAAAGAAATTTTCTTTCAGAAAAAGTGCTATACTTGATAATCGGTTTAAGCTGTCTGGTGGAAAAAGTGTTTACCTAAAAAAAAAAAAAAAGGAAAACCATCTTTGTAAAACCAATACATTTTTCGCTTAACTCAGAATCCGAAATGATGTAAACTTGTGCCATTTTCGGTAAGTACGGTATTTAATAAAGTAATTTTACCATCTCCACAAACATAATCGCTAATAATTTCGACTAGTTGAATCGGGAAAAATTGGTGTTCATCCAAGGAAATAACTCCAAAGTCCAACATTAATTTTTAACTTTGATTATTAAACAAATAGCAGAGTCCTAAATTAATAATCTGTCAGTAAGGGGAAACTTAATCTAAAATGGTTTGAAACTTATTTATCGATTTTTGTCAGGCAAAAAGGTAGAAAAGGGATCGTCACAAAAACTCACATTTTATAAATCATATTACATAACATATATATTTATAATGTACTGGCTGTCCCGCGCCCGACACGGCGTTGCCGGTGCTAATTTTTTATTATTTTTACCTTTATTTACGTATTGTTTTTTTTCAGTATATTTTCAGTATATTTCTGTATATTGAACCAAAAAAAAAAAAAAATAGGTGGAAAGAGGGTAGTCCGCGGACTAAAAGTGTTCTGGGTGCCGACATGTCGGCCACGCTCATAACGGGCCACTCGCCCAGAATTCATAATCGCAGATCGTTACATTTTTAAGAAACTTAGAAACATTAATAAAATATAAAATTATTAAAGCTAATTTGCAACACTTTAATAGGCGAATCATGAATAATATGAACGAAATGATGTTGATGCGTAGACTTAAAAAAATATTTTATTTATTTTGTTAAGCGTATTAATTTCTGTTTTTATCTAACACATAGAGAGTTAAGATGTGTGTCGGATACCAAAGACACGTTCTGACCATAGATACCGACCCAGTACAGCACATGGTTTTTTTTTTTCATTTTATCCGTGTTACAAAGGTTACATGGTTTATTTTAATTGGTTACTAATTATTTGCTAACTTTACCGTACTAAATTTGTGTCCGAAAACTGCTCTGTGATGTCCTCTTTAATTTTTAAAAAAAAAAAAAAAATCGCATGTCGATTGAATAAGTATATTCGAAGCCAACCCTTAATGAATATGTCCGTTTTCGCTTTTATATACATTGATGATAAATGCAAAAGTTTGTTCAGGCGGATTTTTCGAATTATTTTTATTCATATGTTACTTCGGTGACACGGATAAAATAAAATAAAACACAAAAATGAATAACAAGGTAGTCCGTGTACTCGAACTGAAATTTCACCATCGCAAGCCGTTCTAATAATATAATGATTGGATAATACAGTGTGTATTGTACATACATGAGTGTGTATTACAATATCGTTTCAATAGCTAATCAATTAAATGCGCAAAATATAAAAAGAATATCCGTCCAAATTGTCAATTTTAACACTAATAAACACTACCTAAGCAAATTTTCACACACGAGCGGTGCGAGCGGAGGGTTTTTAGAAAAACAAAAATATCACAATTAAAAATTATCGAAATAACATTATTATTCTCGTTGTTGTTGTAATTTAATATTTATAGTGTGAACGACGACGGGGCGACAAATCTCGGGATCGACGTCTATATAAATATTATTGCTAAGCGCGTTTGGACGATGCGGTTTTCTGTAAATACGCCGCTGTTGTTCTATACTTGGTTACTGTAGTATCAAAACGGTTTTGTTTGCAGTACAGTATTATGGCGATGGATAACCGAAAAGAAAAACGTTTATTTGAATTGACTGCCGATTTCGACAACCCCGTTGACGAAAATTGCGTTTAGTTGTCAAACAATTGTCGAAAAAGTTGAGCTCACGGTAAAAATTATTCTGAATGAACAGAACCAATAAAATATGTAAACTCGATTTCGTTGTTTTAGAGTAACAGCATTTTTTTCTCTAAAGGTATGTATTGTTCACTAGTGTATAATACAATCAAATATCTTAGCATTTTTTTACTACCTATCGATTCTAATAAAACAAAGAAAAAAAAAACCCAAAGTTTACTAAAGGTACTTATTATATATATATATATAGTGACAATCAAGCGTATTAAAAGCGAACATATTTCGGATATTATTTAATTAATTAAAAACAAGTATAATTATTTTGATAACACGAATACATTATATAAGATGAACATAATTACTAATAGAAAAAAACTATAAAGGTACCCCCCCCTCCACCTATAATGTAGCTAACCTATACAAATTTTAATAATTATAATTAAAATCTAAAAACATAACGAGCATTTTTTTACGATTTTTTGAAATAATTACACTTTTAAGTTCGCCTATACAACCATTATAACCCAGTTAATAAAACGTAGCATATACACAAATATTCCTAATATCTTTAGAATTTGATCAACTAAAAACAAGAAAATCATTTTACCATTATAACATCTACATCAACTATTATAGTATACGATTTTAGAAGAAGAAAAAAGTCGTTGATTAATTTTCCTGCATAAATTTATAGTGAAAAAAATAATGATTTTAAAATGATTTTATTGGAAATGCGTTAAAAAAATGAATAAATCATTTTTGTTTTTATATAAATGCAATACTTTTAAAAACGTTGACGTTCAGTGAGTTGTGTTGATTTAATTCCTACTTTTTTTTTTTTTTTTTGCATGATAATTTTAGTAGTAGTGTAATTATAAAAGTTAGTTTTTAAATAGAAATTAATCTTGATTAATGTCAAACGTAAAAGATTTTAGTCTCTCCAGCAGTATAATATAATATGATGGTTTTAAACGGTTTTCAATGTTACACAAAGAAGAAAAAACTTATTTGGAAAGTGTAATTTGAACTAATCGTGGAATTATATAAAAGCATACATTTTTCTATGTTCGTCACGATACAAGTAATAAACTATATTATTTAGGTCATCAAATTAAATTGCCAATGACGAAACGAAAACGGTTATTACCTTGTAAATAACAATATATTCGCTTGATAACAACGCAACGAGAATAACCGTTTACCAAATGTATAAGATCTTATGTTCGAAATTAGTTTCAAATAACACTAAATGTATACAAAAATTACGCGTTATCAAGTCTAATAATATTCTTAAAAGCAAAACTACACACGAAGCAAACAAATAATACATAATATAAGAGAGTGTCACGACAATATATTGTTATTATAGTTTAACTTATATCACTTGACCCAAAAAACTTTGTGAATATGTATATATAATATGACTGAAGCTCAATGATAAACTTTCTCGTCTCGTTAAGTGCCCAATTCAACACTTTTTCGCGTCTTCGTCGCAGCATCGTTGCCACGCCGTTATTATTTTCACCACTAGAAATTTTCATCCTTTTAACTAGGTAACTTATACACACTCAAAACGAGTTTTTAAAAATATGTAAACAGTTTTCCTATCACGTCACATTTGATTTAGTTTATTGATAAATTATTATTTTCTGTAGTTTTTATCACGACAAACATTAAAACACCTATCTAGGAATATTAAAAAAAAAAAAAAATTCAATGCATAATAAAATCATAATGATATTCAAAGTTTCCAGTGTTATAAAGTTAACCGAAGTTAACACAGCGATGACGTTTTGTTATAAATTACAAAATAATATATGAGTAATAACTTGTGATCTTTAAATATTTGCTTAGCGTAAACTGTTTTATTTAGTATTCTATACACCAGGGTACCGAGTTTGTATTTAAAACATCTGGCTAACATAAAATATTTTTATAAAATATCGCAGGGTTTTGAATTAAATATTATTGTACTCGAAACTTGTTTAATACCGAAAACTAAAAGTCAGAAGGAATGACGGCGATAAAATTATTTAGTATTGAGAAAATAAATAGCATTTTCCACTTGACCGAACTATATACATTTTCTTTATCGCGGAACTACGGCCGACACATTTCTGAACACGATAAATATACCTATATACAAAAGTCCGCTTTGTAACGTCATCGCGTGTGGTTGGCGGTTGAAATAAATCTTTTCAAATGGAAAATAATGCAATATGATTAAAACGATTGATCATGTTAGACTCGGCAATCAATGGTACATATAGTATTGTCAAAAACGCTATTAATAATCAATGTTCGATTTGAGCGAAACTAAAAATAGAAAAACAAATTAGCGCAAGAAGTGTCGTATAATAGTATTCACTAGTTGATACAAATTATCGTTAGTGAAAAGTTTTATAAACAAGTAGAAGTTTAATCGAGATGTAAATTTCTTGAAACGTAACAAACAATAATAAAATAATATACTCTGTTAAAAACATTCAAGATCACAAAAATATTATAATGTCGGTACCTATAGATAACTGCGTAATTTTTTTTCCAACTACTTTATTTATAGTGGCCGTTAGAAAATATAACGATTTTTCCTCTATTGTACGCTAAACAATATCGTAAACAGTCAGATTTTAATATAAATTATAATAATGACAATGGCGTGCAAAAAGAGAAGAAAAAAAAGCGGTGAAATACCCTTCATTCTCTTAAAAATACAACTAGGTACTATGCAAATCTGCTTATTTAGTAATTTTGACTTGGAATTGTATTATATTTCAGCGGAGTTACTTAGTTACGAAGAAAAACAGATTGATTTATTTGATAAAAGTTGACATTTTTGGTTACGGATTTTAAATTCTTATCGTCAAACCGGACATAAAAAAAAAAAATTCTGCGATTTAGTCATGAATCATGATTATTATTAACTACGTCCCCTCATATAAAAAAGGCCTGAGCATTTCATTGGTTGACACACTTGGGATTTCTTTTTGGTATAATAATTTCAAAATAAAAGTTAACTCACTACAAAAAAATAGTTTTTATAATACACGCAAAATGTTGAATTTCCGATTGGTACTCATGATATTAACAACCGGCATATTATAGAGAGTATGAGAAATTTTTTTTGACCTACACAAAAGAAATAGCCCAGCGGGTTCAAAAATATTAATATAATACCACGATGACTCATACACATGGTTGTCATTAATTACTAGTACTCAATGGAGGAAAATCAAATCTGTTTAAATAACCGCTCTACAAATAGTCTTTGGTATCCCTAAGTTTTGTTCGGATCGAGTTTTATGTAGATTCACAAAACTCCAAAAAAAACCATCAGATGGCATGAAACAGCAATGTTCCACAAAATAAATATTCTACCTTTCCTCACTTAAGTGAATTTGAACGCGAACTGAGTGAAGAAACAGTGCAAACAATTCCAATCGGCCCCTCCAATGGGCTAATTCAATCTAAAATTACTATCCAGAAAAAAAAATCCAACCCAATCGCTAATATACAATACTAGAAAAGGCGTTAAGCCCGACATAGTGAACAAACTAAAAGGTCGTTTATTCAAGTAAAACAATATTATAAATACTATAGAGAGTAATCTTACCGAACCGTATTATTATTATTATTTGATAATTGGGTATTGGGTACCAGTCTGCAATATAATATTAAACTTACGAATTGAACAACGGGAAATAAATCGTCGGTAACGGCCAAAGAAGACGATGGGTTCATATTTTGTCTTTTGACATATCTCCTCGGTGTACATTTACCTATGAATAATTTTACAATATACCGAGTGATCACGGCAGGGGGTGACGACAGAAAACGATTTCGGACAACGACGAGAGAATTTCGACCGATAGTAAATTAATATACGTACCCTACCTAATATGTCAATAGACAACGACGTAAATATTATCCGTACGTTTTTCATATTATTCCATACCATTACCCTATGATTTAGACCTAAACCGATTCCTCACGAAGAGCTGGTAGACGATTTCCAGATCTCTTATTCATACATTTAACAACTAAATTAAATTCAAACATTCTTCTTTTTATTATTTATTACTCAAAACACTCAACCTAAAATAAGTTTAAAAACATGGGTCTAGAACAAATCGGCGATTTCGGCCTGGTCATTTTGGCGTGGCTGTTTCGGCGTGAAAATACTAAACGCAAAGTTATTTCAGCGCAGCGTATTTTACTTTTTATAACCCAATGGATGTATTTTTTCAAAAAGATATAATACTATACGTATTGATAATAATATATGATCGTATAATTTCCTGTATCATTACAATACAAATTAATTAATTTAAAAAATAATACAAATATAAACTGCTGTGGTTTTATTCTAATGATATATTCCGTGTGATACCTTTTTAAATAATTAATTAAATTTCGATTGTCATATTCGCTCACAATTTTAAATAGTCGACGGTTAAATTTTGTATAGTTCTTTTATTTTTTGAAGGAACTCCCTCCAGACATAAGTTGACCCAAAAAAACTTCGTAGCCAGTTTGAATTTTTCTCAAGTATATCATATAAAAATTCATATTGTCGGATTTCAAACCCCCATTTATTTGGCTGTTACTAAATTCACTATAAATAGATGTACAAATAAAATACAATTACCACGCCTAAATTACTCTCGCCGACATATCTTTCGTCGAAAGTCACGTCGACATTTCCGAAACGTTTTTATTTGTTGAATATTTAGAATCTATGCATAATTAACACAATAAGCAAATGAGATGAATACAATTTGTTTTCCTTAATCAAATAAAAGTAAATCCGTCAAAAACTTCGTGGCTTCGGCGAGTCAAAAATAATCGCAAGGCGGTCAGCCTATTTTAAAAGATCTTCTCGTATTACAAAGTCCATTTTATGCATATTATTTTAAAGTCGTATAGAATAAATACTACGATATTCCTGTCCGTTTATATTTCCGTGTTGTGTTTGTATTGTATTTTGTTATAACTAAAAATAAAACTCGAAACAGTGGATGATGATAAATTATTATATCTATCTGAATACCGTAGAGTTTCGATTAAGTTTTTGTCGATGTTTACGATTTGCGTAGGTACGTACTGGTATACAAAATAAAAATTGTTTTCAAAAGATTGTTTTGTATCATACGCAACTGTTTGGCAGAATAGTAGGTAGGTAGAATATCTATGAAGTTAGAACCTTTATGTAAAATATAGAACCGCGGAGATTGAATTGTATATAAACTAATAAAGATAGTTTTTATAATAAAAAAAGAAAAAACATAAAATATTAAAGGATCCATTTTCAAAACGAGTTTATGCCGAAATTAATTTTCCTACGTAGATGCATTATCAAAATGAAATTACTCACCTAGTTACTTTAAGATAAAATATATAAAATAAATAATGAATTAAAACATTTTAATTGAGTATCAGGATATTTCATTCAATGTAAATGTTTTGAACATTTACGATTTTTAAATAAACATAAAAGATAAGATGACGAAAAGGACTGCACGGAAAGGACACTTTATACTGCAACAGTTATCGTCATACTTGAAAAGAATATAAGAGTAAAGTGAGGAGCTCGCGACAACAGAAAAGATAGATTAACATTTTCCGTGTTCTGTTCAATACGATTTATGTTGACGTTTTGAATTAAACACACTCACTGTCAATCCACGTCTAACTGGAATTTCACTCCCAGTAGATTTAGTAACCCTATCCTGCAAACAAGCGCGCACAACAATAGAATGACATGTGCAGGACGTTAGGTCGCCCGTGATGAATTTTCATTGAGATGTAAAATCATAATAAAATACAAATCTCTTTCTCGAAAAAAATAAAATGAGTTCGACAAAAATTTAAAACATTTTTAAATACTTATAAAACCCGATTATACTAAAAGTACAGCGTAAAAAAAAATAAAAAAAAACGTTTTCACGAATTACGTCTGAACGTTTATTCTCATAAGAAATATTCACTAATACACTGCAACTTTGAGATTGAACAATGAATAAGTTTTAATAAATAATATAGTAGTTGTGCACCTAGCAGGTGTCTACGTGTTCTTCACTAAATAGAATTTAAATACGTATTATATGAACTATTTATGAAGGGCACAAAGAAAAAACCAGAAAATTTAACAGTAGTGTTTACAATTTGTCTACATGAAATTCGCCGTTTTCGTTTTATGATTTATATATTTTAGATTTGGAGCATAACGTGGCATATTATATTGATTTCACTATAATGTGTGTCTTTTTTTTTTTGTGTCTGTGAGCAACTTTTCTACCAGAATTTTTACTCCGATATTTCAAGCGAAAGAAAATGTTATCTAGTTGGTATATCTGGAGTTCGTCTTTTGATTTTCCAAGGAGTTTTCATAATAATAGGAAAAAAACGAAAGTAAAATTATAGGTAAAATGACAAATATTTACGGTGCACCGTGGCGTTACCGATTTCGTTGTTTTTAATTTTTGCTAACTATGTTTTCTACCAGAAATATTGCTCCAATAGAAAAACGACAAGAGACTTTTTTCGTTGAACTTATAATCTCGTTGATGAGTAGGTAATTCATTTTCTAGTATCCTCTCTTTTTTTTTTTTTAATTTTTTTTTTTTTACAACGATTTCAGAATAAAACTCATTATTGGCAAACGTATAGTTCAAAGAATATTAAGGATGAATATAATTGTGAAACAAAAAAAAATCGAAAAATATAAGTAGATTAAAATAGATTATTTTTATACGGAATACACTTATAATCACTAATGCAGAGACCAATTCGGATCGTTTTTGCCACACGTAAAAGTGTATGAGAGAAAACATATACATAATAGTGAAACGAATAGCTTTTTCGTTACACCGAGAATCTAAAATTCAAAAATAAATAGGTAATATTATACTTGTTTTCTTTCGTATTAGTAAGCATTATATTTTTATCATAATACGAAAAATTAAACACAACGCAACCCATTATAGTGTACGGTTAGGAAAACCGGTAAGTATGTCAATATTATTACGCGTCTTAACATTTCCCCGGTGGGTTACGTAAAACAAGAATACTGTAGTACATTTTTTAAAAGACGGCTATTATGCAACGAAACGCTACATGCAAAATGAAATGAATGTGTTAAAGTTTTATATGTTTTTAACACTACGCGTGTACAACGTACATCATATTATGATGTTCGACTAACATATTTACATTTAAACATTTTCTTAACTAATATTATATTTTTGAGATGTTAGGCTGCACGAACACACGCCATAACAAAACGTGTAAAGTATAATGGTTTTTATCGCTCTGAAAACATACATGCCAACAACACACATCAACAGTGGCGCATTTAAAGGAGAAGAGGGTATTAAGGAGAAATATCCCACTGCTTAACTTTTATTTTTTTATTTTTTTATTTTTTTTTAGTACCTGCTGTCTGTTATTTATTTGACTATTAATTTTAAATTTAAATTTATTTACTATTTAGTCGGAAAAAAAAATTGAATGGGTTGGTGATCCCTACCAAAAAAACCCCGAACGTGTACGTTTTCTTGTTTGAAAGATCGAAACGAAACTTATGTTTCGATTAATTTTAATATTTGCGTACTATAATTTATACTAGAAATATTTTTTTAATCAAAAATACCAAAAAACCTTCTTTTTTGCATTTTGGGTTTTGTCGTTGTGTGAGTAATTCGTTTTTTTTTTTTGATTTTGAAGCCGTTTTCGTAATAATTGAGAAAAACCGGGAAACTACGTAAAATGAAGTTTAATCAATTTACGACACAACGAGTTCATTATTTTAAATTGTGTAGTTATTCAAGTAAAAATATTTTTTGATACTTAAAGTATTGACAGAAATTTATACATTATCTAAACGTAGTAAAATTTTCATAACATTTTGGCGATTTTTGATTTGCGAGTTTTTTACGTAGTCTTTACTTGATAGGTACTATATGAATATCAGTGTTTAAGAAAAAAGAAAATCTTAAAAATTTAACAGGAAGTTCATTATAAGTAGAAATCGGAGGTAAAAAAATATGTTTGTTAAGTGTAGTATTTTTTTTCAAATCAAATTTTGATGAAAATCTTAAATATAACGGCTTTTCAAATTATGTATAAGAATCACTCATTAGAATCGTTTTTCGTTTATAAATGTAAACCATTGCTTACAGGTATAAATTAAATAACTTGTTGTATCCTACTATCCCACCTTCCCACCTACAGCAGTGGCGCACCTAATCAGCAACACCGGCTTTTTTTATAATATTTATTTATGTTCGCGTTAATATACCTATACACATACAGATTAGCATTTTATTTCACAGAGCGGTTGTTTGGATAATATATTCTCGTGGTAGTTTCGTTAATGGATAATGCGTTTCAGTGGTTCATACCAATAACCACGTATACGGTTTTGGTTTTGGTGGTACATTTGTCACCTATGACATTTTCATATATTGTGAGTGAGTATTATTATAACGATACGCAGCGCTTCCCACTACTTTCCGCGGTGTGTAAAACGTTAGTGGTCAGAACAACGATTTTATATTATATTATATTACAACAGAGCTTCAAAGTGGAGAACCGACTAAAATTCTAATAATAATATTATGGAAATAATTTTGTACAGCAAACCGATCAAATCATATACTAATTCTGTGAGCGAACTGTATAAAAATCGCAAAAAATTTAACCGACTTAAACAATTACGAGGTATATTAGTTATTTCAATAAAAACGAGTCTTCTGGTCATCTCCAGATTCAATATTGCTTATTCTCCTCGTAATGACTACTCTATTCCCATTATCCGTGTCTTACGCCTATCCAGTCTTGCTGACCGCCAGCACACTTTGCTAACTTTCTAATATTCTTCACCGATCTCCTTTCCAGAAAAATTGATTCTCCTACCTTATACTGTCTCTATTTTCTTGTTAAACCCCTCTTCGTCCCAGCCGCTCTTTTTCTGCACATTTTTTTTTTTTTTTTTTTTTATACCACAGTCTTTTACAAATAAATGACCACGATGCAACAACCATATAACTACACTTTTTGAATAACGTCCTTTTTGACGGCCTAATTTAATAAAAAACAATTCTGTATCGATTGGTATAACAATCCGAAAAATCTGATATATACTATAATATATAACTATATATATCCGGGTTTGAATGGATTTGAAGTTATCTTGTTTTAGAAGTTGAGGTAACAATCTGAAAAATCTACTACTATGATATTATGTCGATGAACAAATTTCGGTGCGACAATCAAATAAAACCGATAAACGTTTATTATTGCTTCTGTACAATTTCAAAAAGTTGAGTTATTTTGCTGTTACTCCGAGGAAATTCAATTGTACTCTTTTAATTCTTCTGTTTCCCGCAGCTGATATGCACGCAACCAAATTTTTGGACCTTTTATTTCACATATGAATTATTCCTAAACTTTTATATCACATTACTACCACATTTATATTTTGGGCTTGTTTCGTTTATTTAATAAAATAGAATTGTAACTTTGTAACGACATGTTTGAAACCATGATCGCTCTTGACTGCCAGTGTAATGCTATCTATGTAGAAAACATGTAATTCAATATTTATGTCACGCTAAGAGACACGACCACGCGGGGGTCAAGTATATAGGAAAATGACGGACGAAACTTCTTCGAATAATAAACAACTTAAATAAAATAAAAAAATAGACGATAAAAGTTGTTCCCAGAAAATAATATTACATTATATCGTGACTGATGTGGCGACACAATGTAGTAAGGTTAAGAAGGGTTTGTGCGAAGTCACTTATATGGTATTTAGTTTCTATTGAAAAAAAAAATAACAAATAAATAAATAATGGAAAATCAATGTTTAGCATTTAATCGAAAAGTTTGCCAGTTACCATATATGTATAATATAAAAAGATAATGTGTATTCCAAAGGAAAATAAAAACATTCAAATTTGTTTATTTATATGCCATTTGAGCTACGCCCTACACATACGCGTGTACAACAAATATATAAGAAAACACAATACAATTTTAAATTCAAAGCGAAGCGAAAAAGATATTATTATTTGTTAAACGTATTTGTGTATTTTTTTTTTTTTTCAAATATTTTTGTCGTTTAGCAATGCGCACGTTATAGTTTTTTCTTTTTTGGGACCAAAAAAGAAAAACGCCCCAAAACGTTCATATCATTATGTAGATCAATCTACACAAGAAATTAGATACCTATACATACCTATACATATTAAATATATTGTACTTTTAAAAATACGAATAAAAATTGTTTTTTTTTTTTTTTTTAATTTTAATAAAACCTTTGATTCTTATCATTGATTCCGTAAAAATGCCCGGGAATCCTTCGAGAAGATCAAAGATTAAAGTAGATCTACGTCATACAAATTTAAAAAAAAATATATAACTGTCATTAGAGAAATATCTTTCTGAATAGAAATTCAAAATATTGTTTGCGAGTAACTAGTACGCTGATATATTTATGTTATTTTTTTTAAAATATACCTAAACATTTAAATATATTGTACTTAAATGTATACGAATGTGACAGACATACCCAGTTGCGTCGATTTTCCGATACTGTTGCCCGTTAACAATCTGAAACAATAAAGTAGAACAATAAATATAGTAAGCTATAAAATTTAAAAATTCACACGATTTTTTGAATATTTTATTATCTTGGGCGAACATAAAATAGAAACAAAATGTAAGAGAAATAAACGGTGTGTAATAATTAACATGGATGGTTTATAGATTGAAAACAAAATTATTTAATTAGCGAAGATTTCGTTGTTATTAGGTTAAAAGAGGTCCGGTACACTGCAAAAACGTTAACAATACGAGTGGCCGGTGTCCAGGTTTTCCTAATAGATTATTCGAAACGCAATGAAATTTATCGTGTATACATCCACCATCCGTTGAGATTCGATTAAACCCTGCGTGGAGATTATTTATTTAGACTCGCGACTAGACGTAATTGAATATCATCGGTGATATTGCATTAAATATCTAATACACGCGAAACTGGTGTACTGTTTTACGCGTACAAACCTGATGACGAAAAGTAAACATTTTACTCGTAAAACAACATATTATACCTGTTAAAAATGCACGGTAAATACCGTCCGGACACCATAATCATACGGTCAGTATGGTAACTATCGGGAACTTCGGCACATCGTTACACCTCGGATACAGCGTGAACAAATTAAATACTGGTGACGTGAAAGCACCAATGCTATATTATATGACGTAATGTATCAAAGGTTTTTTTAATTTTTTTTTTTTTTTTTTTAAGTCTGCCTCAGTTTTACAATAGGTACGGTCTAAACTGTAATACTTATAAAAACTACGGTATTATAACTAGGCCGGGAATCATGACCGTTTAACACAACGTTAATGCCGTGAAGTCAACATGTTATGTGGTCGAGAAGCTGCATTTTCATGGCGGAAGAATATTTCTGTTTTTACACACTAAGAGAAAGAGAAACGTATTGGATTTATTATGATGTGTATCTAATATTTATTTTTTTCGTGTGCACGAGTATGTGTACATAATTTTTAAAAATCGAAATCAATCCAAAACTGTACGGGAAATTTCTTGTAGCATTTTTGTTCTAGTTGGTGAATTGAAGAGGTCGTTTTTGTATTCTGTCTTTAGTTTTTCTAATAAATGAAAAAAATTGCCAATTTGTTGTACACATTTAATTGATTTTCGGGTTACCTTGTCGTCAAGGGAAATATACGGCTTATAATAAAACTGTGCTCGGAATGAATCGTTTGTCGTCAACGAACTACTGTTAAAGTGCGATATAATTAGAAAAAAACATCAAACTATATTGTAGTATTTTAATTAACATTTTTTATGACATCATCATTGTAAAACCTAATCATTATAAAATACTTTAATAAGTATCTAGAGATTTATCGGAAAATTAGTTTTACATCATTTATCATTCAACGCTGGGATAACTACAGAAAACTATTTATTTTTTAATTAGTCCTTTTTTATTATGGTTCTTTTACGATTCAGGGAGATAATATCAATCTTGAGAATAATCTCAATCAAACTTATCGACAAATTCAAATTCGTTTTCGAAATTCGTATCGCTTCACTAGTCCAGTCGGTACGTTGGAAATGGAGCACGTCTTAATTTCTACGTTGCACGTGTATAAGAGAAAAACAGAAAATCGCCGCTTCCAATCCCCTTAACAACTGTCGGTCTTTACCGGTTTTCAACCTTGTAAAATATTTATGTCAGGACGTATATTCCATCGATAATACTGCAGCCATCACTGCTGTGGATCCGTAACTTTTATCAAAACCCAGTTGATATTTCCCGCAGTGCTCGCGGCCATAACGAGGTTAGACTGAATAAAATTAGACTAACGCCACCCCGAGAGAAAAATCTAATTTAAATTTAACCGAAGCGTAATAGCCACCACCTCCGGGAAAAGTTTTGTATGATTCGATTGGTTAGTGTTGTGTTAGTGACACTGTAGTATTTCCGAACTTCTCGTAATACTTTTCACAGACCTCTAAGGCCTCGTGATATTTTTACCGTCAACGGGAGATTGATAATCAAAAACCGCGCGGTAAACGTTCGTCGACGTACAGTGTTTACGATTTGTATTTATTTGGAATTTAAATTCAAAGAAAATTACAATCCAGCTCGTGTATTATTATCAGATTAAAAAGTAAAAAGGAAAAAGTTTGTTCCGCCGCAGTTTGCCGTTCGATTATTGTTCGATGTGTACCTATAATAAATTTAAATCGAAACTTCGGGGACCATTTTTAAATACGTATATGTTTATTTTGTATAAGTACTGCGAAATACAAATACTTCTCGTTTTTATACATAAAATGCGATTCAGTAAATATGTATATTAAATTCCTATTAGAATATAATTTTAGTGACACACACGTAAAGATATACTCGTAATAATAATATTTATATTTAAGGTGTATAGTGATAAAGGAATTGATGACTGTGCTCCTCTTACTAGAACACGTATGGTAATTTCTGGATAAGTATTCTCTATTGAAACTGTGATTAAAAGGTAGGTTGCCATTTAAAAAATACAAAGTGTATACTCAATTGGGTGTAAAGAGTAGAGGTAAAAATTTAAAATGAGGCTTACGTGATTTCAAAATGATTAAAAAAAAACAAAACAAGTTCACTTGAAATCCTCTAAGGAAAAAACTGACTCGTGGTAATAGAATCAGCCTGAACGTTGTAAAATTGAAAAACTATAGAATTTTTATAATGTACTTGTACATTAGATTCAATATTTCAATGTACCAGAGTTTCGAGCGTTAATTTAATATGCATTCGGTACTATAGACAATTGAAAAGTAGGTGCATCGTATTCAAAAATAGACTAATGATAATACATTTAGCTTTTTAACCTGACCGCCCGGTGCCAAATATATTCACCGAACAGAATAGATTTAAATTTAAACTTCTTCACGTATAAAAAATTAATGACGTAATTATGCTAAAATGTTATAATTTACTTATCTAATTAATATGTACAACATTATCAGGGATTAAACTGAATTTCCCTCTCCCCGGTATTTCGAAATATTGCACAAATTACAGTTTTTGAATCATTAGATATTTAAAGTTGTTAATAATCTGATGGTGTTAAGTTTTTCGAACTCAAATAACTTTTTTCGTAATAATGATATCGAAAAACTAAAACCAAAGTTGTACAGTGCAAGTTCTCTTCGTTTTATAATGAAAATTTGGTTTCTTTACTAAATCCGTAGTCCAAATAGTTTGTGTCCGTTCAAAACGGTTTTTCAATTTGTTAACTTCATAATAACACGGTAAATACTTTTGATAATGACACACGGAAATTTTAGTAAATGTAAGTGAATTTGAACAGTTGAGAGCTGATAAAATTGCCTATTCGCAGCCCCTTAATTACCAGTGGTAACACGTCTTCACTTGTGTAGGTAAATTATTTTGATAACCGACTTATAAATTTACTGCTTTTATAGAAATAGTGTCTCCATAAAAAACACGATTATGAGTATTGGGTTTTTTTTTTTTTTTTAAAATTAAATATAATATACAGCTTCTTAATCGTATTGTATAATTTGATCGCGCGGTTTATCTTTTTAGTAAAACTTATAATATTATTATTATTATTATTGCACTGCATTTATAATACCATTTGATGTAACTTATGTGCACCTACGAATCGCGATTGTCATTGAAACGAAAATGAAAAATTGAATACAACGAATAATCAAATTGCAACAACATTACTTGGGTGTTTTTAAATAATATGTCTGTTAGTGAATAATAAACCCCATACAAAACGGTGCACTCGTTAAACAATATTTAATATTATCTCACTTTTGATCTGAAAATTAATACTACGTAACCTTAACGGTATGCGTACACCTACTTAATTATTTAGCATCGACTTGTACTTTCACCGTAAAATTATGTAATATAATAATAATATACACAAAATAATCCGAGTCGTGCACATTTAACCTTTCGCGAAGAACACAATATTCATTTAAACCGTTTGTACGAACGTCAGCACATTAAAGGAGCTTGTTTTACTAAAAAGGTCTTACTACGGGCTATTATACGGCTATCGATAAAATGTTATTTCTTTACCGTTCACCGGATAAGTACACCGTACGA